TATCACTGGTGGTAGGACCTCTTGGGAGTCCGCACGGGTAGGTACCACCACCCCGCCTATTTCCGCCGTGAAGCAGTAATGCGTTTCGGTTCGAAGGGTGGGGTAGCCGTTGTAACTATACTGAGATCTTAGAACTTATATCTCGAGGTGGGTGGCGCATTTACGTTGTAGATGTCTATGGGCTCCAGTAACCACTTAACNTACCACCACCCCGCCTATTTCCGCCGTGAAGCAGTAATGCGTTTCGGTTCGAAGGGTGGGGTAGCCGTTGTAACTATACTGAGATCTTAGAACTTATATCTCGAGGTGGGTGGCGCATTTACGTTGTAGATGTCTATGGGCTCCAGTAACCACTTAACACCAGGTGGGCTGTGAGCTCGTCCATCCATCTAAGCAATAAAAAAAATTAAAAAAAATAAGCATCGTGATTACTAGATGTAGGGCACTGTGAGAGTCGACGCGGGTAAGTACTACGTTCTGCATATTACTGCCACGAAACAGTGATGGTTTCCGGCTTGAAGGTTGGGACAGATGAAGTTATGCTTAGACGTTAGTGAGACTTTGCGACTCATTGTGAGTTATGGAATTTGTGCTATGTCTATGAGTTCCGGTTACAACTTAACACCAGATGGGCAGTGAGATCGATCACGCACCAAAGCACAAACGGTCGTGTTGTAATAGTTAAATTAAGAAGATGGTATTCTGCCATAATGTCAAAAAATAGGTTTGAATTTGTTTACTTAGTCGCGGTAATTTAATTAAGTGTCTAAATCTTAATTCGGAGCTAGTTCCGTTTTGATGAAGCCGATTCCTTTATCGTGATAACATTGAGAGAAGAAATATTCAACAGATGTGAACCAAATGAAACCGGAACTTTCTTGCAGTGAGCACAAACCGAATGAATCAAAACAAGAATAAAAAATTATGGTCGGAATCGAGAACATCATGTTTTATTTTCATTTGAAGTCGGTTAATGATATAATAATATTATCATCGTACGGCAACCGAACAACAAGTGTGTGGGCTAAAAACTCACAGTGGTGGTAGGACCACAGTGGTGGTGGCAGCCGTTGTAACTATATTGAGACCTTAGAACTTATGTCTCGGTAGGTAGGTGACGGCATTTACGTCGTCTATGGGCTCCGGTAACCACTCAACACCAGGTGAGCCGTAAGTAAGTTCGTCCACCAACCTGAGCAGTAAAATAGCCTGTTTTACTTTTCAGACATCGAGCTCTTACAAGAACCTGTTCGTACCAGGGGAGGCCGACCTCCGCGGTGTGAGTCAAAAATGCGATGACACTTACGTCGCTTCGATCCTGCATGAGGTCCGTTTGAGGCCCGATTCAACAAACAATTCGAGAAAAGGTAACACTGATACTGCGAATAATTGCTACTGGATTGCCACGATATTCTAGAATATTTTTCGTTATAATCGAATAATTTTGCTACGAAGGTATTTTTGTACAATATACAGTAATTCTTCGATTTCTTTTAGAATTAAGACAGCAATAGAAATTCAGAGAGCTTTTTAATATTTTTCTACTCTTTTATTACATTTAATCAATGTACACCAATGATTCCCTTCATTTCCGAAATCATAGTGTAAGCACAACAGATTAATGAACTTAAGGAATAGTACTAAAACTTTACTCGTGGTAGGACCTTTTGTAAGTCCGCGCGGGTGGGTACCTTAGAACTTATATGTCAAGGTGGATGGCGCATTTACGTTGTGGATGTCTATGGGCTCCAGTAACCATTTAACACCAGGTGGGCTGTGAGCTCGTCCAACAATCTAAAAAAAAAAAAAAATTAGTACCGAATTTTTTTTTATACAAAGTAACATAGAACCTTTCGAATCTAGTACGATAACGGTCTCTGACGTCACCGCTATTTAAGTGCCAGATCATGCATGGATTCTTTCCAGTCTATTTGATTAGTCTTTCTATATAAATGCTACACCATTATACCAATTTCGAACTAATTTTCAATGCAAAACAACATCTATTGCTAAATCAAAATAGAACAAATCCGCAATTCAGTAATTCCAGTTCTGAAGGATGTTTGTCCTCAAACAACTAATGATTTATATGTTCTTCCAGCGAGTCCGTGTACAAAATATGACGTGGAGTTGGAAGTTAACTATCCACACGCGTTCTACGTGATGTGCGCTCAGCGGGAACCGAACCTTGTGCGATCACCTATAGTCGGCATGGCTGTGCAGTCCTAGTTATCACTATTTCATTGTTTGCTTCAATAAAGGATGCTAAGTGTAGTCGGTGTTTTATTCTGTTGTGATATTTCCATTAAAACACATTTCAAATTTTTATAGAAGAGTTTTACAATTTGAACTGTGAATCTCCGAGTTCTACGTTAAAAGATAGATAGAGAGAGAGAGAAAACAAGGCTAAGTGTCACCATCTTCTGCACGAAGCAACCTGCGTGATGGAATAACCGCTGTGATTTCTAAGGAATTCGATTTTAAATTAGACAGGCAGTCAAACCATCTGTAGTATAAAAAAAAACATCAGCGTTATTGCTCGCTAGATACTCCAAGAATCACACATTGGATAATTTAAGCTTAAATTTTTTATATGATTTAAGAATAATTGATTCACCAGTCTGGTTTGTTATGAAGTCACGATCACTGTCTTCAATATCAAGCATCTATCCATCACTGCACCGTCGAGCAATTCTCGTTTCAAAGCTGTATAAGCGCCATCTACAATACGTATTGAAAGACTAATAATTTTCACAGTAAACTCGTGTTCATGGTTCTCTGTATCATCACTAGATGGCGCTTTATAGGAATTCGAACACTTATTATTTTTTATCAAATTTTAATGTAATGTCGGTACCTACATGTGACATTTATTCGTTAAATATCTTCTTTTTTGCTAAATATAATATCGAAATATTGCTCACTCATCCGAGATCCCTGAAATTATACATAGGCGCTCTTAAGGAACGGATTTTACGTCATTCATAATTAATTCCTCTGGCGGCGCTCGGAGAGTCCCACTCCTCCCTGATGCCTTGTTCGCCCACCTATCCTGGTGAAACTAGAAAGACCTTCGGGCCACGAATTATTACTTCCTCTCAAAAAAAGAAACATATTATGTAGGTAATCGTTTTGATGTAGTCTTTGCGCAAAGAATATGACGATCGAAACGATTCTCTTCATCAAGTGCAGTACCGGCGTTCGAATCCCGCACGCACGTATAAAAAAAATGCGAAAGGGACAACGCTCTACAAAGTCGAAATTAGCCGAATGTCTCTTTCTAGAGGTCGATGTGCATTATGTCTTGCCCAGTATAATACCAAATGGTAGATTCTGCTCAAACAAGTCACTGTCGAAAGCTAAGCTACTGCTTCATTGCAGGTAAAAACAGCGTTTAGTGCGTTCTCTTCCAACAATTAGTTTCGAAAAATTAATTATGAAGAATTTTAAACAAACTTAGAATCGACTTTCTATGAAAGAAAAAATCCAATTTATTAATTACTAGTTGTACCCGTCCGCTTCGCTGGCCATTTAAAATTAACATTATTATTTCTCACCTTCACAAAGATTCTCATCATTAACGCCCCCGCAACTGGTGTAGGGAGTCCTACACTCATATAAATATTAGCCTATCCATTAAGTACATGTCTTTTCTACATGCATACCAAGTTTTAAGTCAATCGGATGCATGGTTCAGTAGTTATAACGGAACATCCGTAAAAACCAGACCATAAACCAGATATATATATTAGTATAGATTTATTTTAAAATCATTAATTATATTTACCTATATAAATATTTAAAATAATTAATTATTTATTCAGTTCATATTTTTGTCCTTTAATCATATATAACATAAAATAATAAATAGAAATATTGAGAGAAATTTCGCTGTTCAATTTTTTTTTCCTACCTAAACTGATGGTCTAGACCAGTGATTCTCAACCTTTTATTTGTTGCGGCACATATTTAACGATTTTAAAATTTGGCGGAACACAAAGAAAAAGATTTAAACTATTTACTTTCTAAAACACTGCATAAAACGTTTATAAAAAACCATTAAATATACGAAATAAACTAATATATGCTTTAATAATATTGAAACGTTTAAAAAGGGATTAATTACAAGCTAATAATAAAAAAAATATTATTTCATATAATTTAATAATACATATTAACATCATTATATATTGGCAAAATTTGGCGGCACACTTTTGAAATTTCGCGGCACACAAAAGTGCCGCGGAACAGTGGTTGAGAATCACTGGTCTAGACTGTCTAGAGAGACTATGTCAGTGTCACCGGGCTAGGCCTGTTCAAGTAACCGTTTAGTTTATGTTGCTGGGATTTTTATTATTTTTGAAGTTATACTTCTTTAGGCGCGTTATGAAAAATTGATGAGATTGAAACTTTACGATGCGCGCGCACCGTGACTCAAAATTAACAGAATGAAGTTGCCCACTAAATCGCTCATTACAATACGACCGACGTAACTTAGCGAGTCTGAATATAGCCGCAGGTGAACTTTCGCGCATGTACACTCGTAAAAAAATGTGTTATTAGCATTCATTTTTTAGTAATATAAATGACAAAATTATTAGTTATATTATATTATATATATTATTATAATTCACAGTAAATATTATTAAATTATTAACGTTAAATATTTATTATTAATTATTTAAAATTTATAAAAAAAAAGAATTAAATTTAATAAAAATAAAGTATAACTTCTTATGCGCGTACACGCACCCTTTTTTTTAAATATTTCCAGGAATTTCTCATTTTTTTTACTTTTCTTCGATTCAACGTATACTAAATAAAAAGCCAAATGAAACATAGCTACGTCTCGCTATCAACGACCAACATACGTATCTTGTTATTTATACACAATACAATCGGTTTGTTTTTTCAAGTGTTTACATGTAAATAGATAAATGAGCAAATAAAAATTATGATAGAATAAGTCACCTACACATGGATCCAAGTGCACGACTTCAAGTGCAACTAGTACTACTCATATTGCAACACGTCTGACACACTTATGACAATTTTTACTAAGCGTATCGGCCATTAATCAGTTTCAGCGTCATACACCTTAAAATAGATTCATATTTTAGAAATCTATTAAACGGATTTACGTAGCATTCCTATATATATCGATTAGATAAAAAAAAAATTGTGTAAAATAAAGTATAAATGCATCTGACATCGGGTAGAACACGAGCCGTGCTGCGGGTAATACTTGCTTGCGGTTACTTCTTGTATTATTTGCCGCTCTCTGAAAGTGTCCGTGGTAAGTTTTGAACGATATTATACACTAATAGGAAGTAGCTAAGAGACACTGGTAGTGTCGCTCGTGTTCATCTGAATTACAAAGACATCGTCGGGTCCTCGGGTCCCTTTACGGGATCACGGATCGTGACATATGCGCGGCTTCTTTTTGTCTCTTCCACGGATGTCCTGGGTTGTGTTTCCTAACTAGAAACCTGACTAGTCTACGTAATATAACTACGGTAGAAAGAGCTAGGGCCACTACTCTTTGCTGGTGTCCCTTTCCCCAAAATTTGACAGTGCATTGTTACAATTGTTGGGGAGAGGATTGCAGCCGGTGTAAAACCCATCTCTGGGTAGGGGGAGTGGACTATTACCCCTAGAGGCATATAGCTGCATCGAATTGCAGCGGCGGTCTCCAAAAGAGCCACCGCTACCAAATAAGGAGAGACGGGTATGGGAAGCGGGGCTGGTTGAGTTGCTCTAACACTGACCCTTACAAGAGCAGTGCTTCGCTGAATCTACCATTGGGATTGCGAGATCAGGCGAGAAACTCAGTTGGTTGTCTATCCAGTCCACCAGTTCGATGAGAATTGTGACCGCTGCTCGGAGAGCCTAAAATCACCGACTTTGGCGAGTCTTCTTCTTCTTGCTTCGTTTTCCTCAATACTGAGGATCGTGACCAGCTTCTCGCAACAAGAGTTTATTATTATATTTGCCTCTTATCATATATTTATTACACAGTCCAACGTATTCTTTTAGACATCGACGCTGAGAATCGTCTTGCCTTCGAGAGCAACAAAATAACTGGGGAGACTTTATACGTAAGTGCGGACTTTGGTGTTCGATAATTATATTTGAGTAGACTAGTTCACGACCCCCCTGATTTGAAGTGGTTAAGGCGCCCCATCCTTAGAAAGCCTGTGATTGCTTCGCAGCGAAAGCCAGTCAACAGTAACAATCTATGTTTTATAACCAATACCCATGACAGGAACTAGAGGAAGTTGTGCGGCTAAAATAAAATGAAGAGATTTCTATTAACAATAGATGATTCGGAATGAATGGATATTGTTATAGTTCAACCAATCTCCATAGTATTTATGAACCATCTAAGATTATTCTTTACCAAACCAAATTTATATTTCATTTAGCAAGGCGCTAAGAGAAACCCTGGCCAGATTTATACGACGGCGATATTTCCACTGTTGGCGACAACGGCCCAGCTAGCTCTCTTCTCTGAAGGGAAGACTTATGAGAACCTGCTTAGCTTTCTTAATCTGAAAGATAAAAATGAGGTACAAATCTGCTTAGTACTATATCCGAGCATAATAGATTTGGGCACTTTTAGTTGCTGAATATTGCTAGACGGACACATGATTACCTAGGTCCATATACACCATAACGGAGATGTTATAGCTGTCATGAACGTCTGAACTATGTTGTTTGAGGGCTCACACTTTAAACAAGGGTCCATGTTTACTTCACGTTATAAACTAAATACTGACCTGACTAAAGGGCCCTAGCAAAAGCCGGTAATCAGTCGCAGCCTGCTGGTATGATACTCAGAAAGCGCTGCTCCCCACCCTATCGTTAGGTACTTAGTCGACACCTGCTGGAACTCTAGGACACTACTGCTATATTACCGTAATAAACCCAATTCTTATGTGTTCAAGTTCTTGGTGGGGCATTGAAAGACTGCCCATAAAGCGAATTTTAGTATAAAAATTAATGGTAGCTTTTTATTTTTATTGCTTAGATGTGTGGACGAGCTCCCAGCCCACCTGATGTGGGCTGATGATTAAATAGTTACTGGAGCCCATAGACATCTACAACGTAAATGCACCACCCACCTTGAGATATAAGTTCTAAATTCTCAAGTATAGCTCTGAACATTGACGTCATTACGTTAAAAACACCTCATTTCCAACATCTGAACGGTTTTTATTGTTAACTTAAGTTTTTTTTTTTGCCATAAGGTTTTATATGAAACTGTAACTATATTTGATTTTGACTTAACTATGTGTTTTTTTTAGATTCGGATTATTTTTCCTACGTTTATTGAGATTTTATTTAACAAAGATCGTATCGGTTCGCCGACTTTAAATCTAAATATGTACAGTGATACGAGCAACAGGTTAAGTCCAACTTTCATAGATACCTACAACAAAACCTTTGGTGGTAAGGCTAGGACTGTGGACTACAGTGACACCGTTAAAGCTGCCAATGAGATCAATGATGAGGTTCGGATTTAAATCATTCCTCTTCTAACTCCTAATCCATTATCATGTTGTTTATTTACAAATTTAGTTGCTTACTTGATATTTTTAAGTTAAGACGCTACTTTATGATATTAAATGAATCTTAAAATTGTCATCAATGTTGAATTAAAAGAGATAGAGGCCCAGTTTCCCGTTTACAATCTCTCCTTGTCTCCCTACAATTCAACTTACAATATAGACAGGAGAAGCACATATTTGTACTTTTGAAAGTGTACTGTCTTCAAAAGTAGGAATAAAGTATAATCGTATTTTAACACAGGTTGAAAATGAAGGCGACTTCAATAATATAATCTCCAGTAAAGTGATAAAGAAAGGAGCCGGTCTTAGTTTTATAAGCAGCTACGCGTTGACTGTAAGTAATTAATATTTGAGTACTTTGTCCACGTGAAATTGCCATACATTATGCTGGCTTAAAGAGAAGGATTGTCGGTATTCCAATGAAATTCAACTTTCGAACTCACTACCACTGCGTGTGGATTCATCCGTAACCCATTTCCAGATATACCTAGTCAGGTCATAAATTCTGTCACCCTTAATTCGACTATGTGCGGTATACTTCCCATTGAATGGAAAAAAAAAACTGCATATTAAAATATACCATATATTCAGTGCTCTGGGTGCTATAAGGCATCCTTAATTATTTACCTACGTGGTCAAAAATCAGGAACGGGTGCACTTGATCCGGACGCGAACAATCGGTGTCGATATGACAGTAAGGAAGGACGTGCCGCGAGGGCTTTTAGTAAGTCGTGTTTTATTCATTATTTTACGGCTTTTTTTTCTTGGAATTTATTGAAACTAAAGATAATATACCCGGATAGCTACTTACAATACTTTTATTGTCTTACTGAGTTTTATTTAGTTTTTATAACGCTCGCAACTTCTACGTCCAATATGCTTCCCAATGTCTATTTACTAACAAAGTAACAACTTAATATTATGTCCAGTATTCTTCACCTTGCCAAATTAGTTGATAACTAGATACAAAATCATCTTAACATGGGTATAGTGAAAATGCCTTCTTATCTTCTTATTTGTCTACAAAATTCAAATATGCCTAAGTAGCCGACATCATGCCATTAAAACGATTCAAGCAGATTAGACGCAACATTCATTTTGTGGACAACACCTATCCGGTATTACAAGATACGTCCGTTCATTGAAAAAATAAGAAGGAACAGCCTTTCAACAAAAGAAGAAATGGAATATAGTATAGGAGAAATAGCCATACCATACAAGAGCACTAAAGCAGAAAACCGGAGGCAGTATATTCTTATGAAACCCAATAAATGGGGATTCAAGAATTTGTTAATAGATAATAGATGTACCGGAAGATTATACTTTTCGGTACCTTTACTTTAAGGAGGAGGAACAACAGATGACACTGGGTGCTAAAATGGTATTAGCCCTTTGTAAAACAATTCAGACTCCAGGATGTTCTGTATATTTCGACAATTATTTCACGACGGTCGACTTGATCTGGTATATACGTGAATACCGAGGAATATTCAGTCTCGGAACCATATGACAAAATAGACTGAAAGGTTGCACCAATGGCCTGTTAAGTGACAAGGAACTAAAGAAAAGAGGCAGAGGTTTGTTTAGCCAAGTTGTAGACAACGACAAAAGGATAGCAGCTGTCAAATGGTACAATAATAAAGTTGTAACATTGGCTTATGTAGAATCTTACCCAGTTTATGAAATCAAGAGATGGAGTAAAGAATAGAAAAAGAAAGTGGTGTCCCATTTCCACAATTCGTTCGATATTACAATCAACATAATATGGGTAGAGTCGACTTGTGCGACATGTTAATAGCTCTCTATAGAATATCTTTCAAAAGCCGACGTTGGTACATGAACATTTTTGGCCAAATGTTAGATATAGCAGTTATCACTGTTTGGCTTCTCTATAAGAGGAAACGCAACAAAAAGAGCCTAAAAAATATTAGTCTGAAAAAGCTCTGACAAAGTTTGGCGGTTGAATTGACGCAAAAAGGAGGGTCAGTTCAACCACCAAGTCAGTTATCGAAAAAGGTGCTAATCCTAGTAAATTGAGGCCTCCAGATTCTGTACGTTAAGATGGCTACAACCACTGGCCTGAATATATAACGTAGGGACGTTAAGTTCTGTAGGGACAATAAAACGAACATACTCTGTTTTATATGCCAGCACAGGCTATGCTTAGTGACGAAGAGAAATTGCTTTTATAATTTCCATCTTAAGTAAATAAGTAGACAGATGACCAAAGACATCAGTGACAATTATTCTAGATTATTTTTTATTGATACTTTTGGGAACCAGAAGACTGATTGTTTTTTATATAGATTGGTCTGGTTGGTTTGATTGGTGGAAAATCTTCATAATAATCAATATTATGAAGATTTTATGTACATTAATCACCATGTTCAGAATATAAGTGACTTGTTCCTAATAGTAATGTTCCTAAGGAGACAATTATTTTAGTAAAATAAAGTATTTTATGACAAAATTATTTGTTTCTTTAATTCTTTCCCTTTGACAGTGGGAACTATACTGCACATGGTAGGAGTGCAGCAGTTTCTTATAAACTTGATAACGTCCAGTTTAATGGACGTACATTTTTCAGGAAACTGAAAAAGTTTTATTTTTTCAATTTTTTTTTAGGGTCTCTTAGAAGCTAAGAATCAAGATCTAAAACCATTTTGCAAATTAAATTTAAAAAAACAATCCGTCGAATTAAGGGTTAATGTAAAATAATTGAAACAAGTTTATTCCTTATGTAACCATTCATATACCAAAATGAACTTAACAAAACATAGATTCTTATGACACTAAAGTTTATTCAAAATGACCTCCGTGATTTTGAATACAGGCCTTCAATCTGCGCGGCCAGTCGTCTATCGCAGCACGAACGAGGTCCATGTCAATATCGGCGGCTGCCTTAATCAAGGATGTCTTGAGTGACTCCAAATTGGGATGAGGCTTTGAGCACGCCTTTTCCTCCAAGTGTTGCCATATCTTGTAATCTAACGGATTCAAATCTGGACTGGAGGAGGGCCAGTCTTCGTGCCGGATGAAGTCGATTTCACGCGCCGCCAGCCCGTCTTGTGTGCTCTTCGCTCTATGAGCTGGCGCCGAATCTTGTTGGAATACCCAGTGCCTGTTATTGAACATGGTATGAGAAACAGGTTCCACAAGGTTCGTCAGGACTGTATTTTGATACACAACTGCATTCGTTTTAACACCTTTCTCACAAAAATGTACCTCTGTTAAGCCCCAATAAGAAACTCCAAACCATACCATGAGCGAGGATGGAAAATAACCTCGTTGGACACGCGGAATACGGTTGCTCGCTTCTTCACTACTGTGTGCGTACACCTTATCATTTTGTTTGTTGTAGCTCTCTTCTACGGTAAAAATTTGTTCATCCGAAAAAAGAATTTCCCGATATTTTTTTCCCGCGTACCGCTTCAACAAAGCGCGGCATCTCTTCAGTCTCGGGTCCATTAGACGAGCATTCAAACGATGTCCTGTTTTTTTTCGATATGCCCGAAGCCCTAAGTCTTCATTTAACACCCTTTTCACCGTGGTTCTGCTTAACCCCATCTGAATGGCCAACAGTTTCTGCTTACGTTTGGGATTTCTTTGAATTCGCGCCTTCACAGCTTTTATCACTGCTGGACCTGTCATCTACACTAGAGTCTTCATTGTATCGTTTGATGGTACGATAAACTAATCTTTTGGTTATATTCAAAATTTTCAGTATGTTAAAAATTTGAATTGGCGCGTAACCGCAACGATGCAACGCAATAACTGCAACACGGTCTTCTTTAAGCGTCCACTCCATATTTAAAAGTGAGTAAAATTCTAAAAGTATACATTTTTATTTTCATGAACAATTCGAAATTCGAATTCAATAAACTTTTTTGTGGCCAGCATTCTAAAAGAAAAGTTTTTACTGTGTGACAATACTTATGACCTGACTAGGTAATTATGGCAATTTCATCAGTCTCCACAATCATCTCCACTTTTTGCGCTACATAGGTTTTCTAACCTACATCTGTCAAACTGTTGTAATGGTTACCGGAGCTCGTAGAGCTTTCGTAAACCCCACTCAAACTTGAGACATGAGGTCGACATCCCAAATACAATGTGTACTGTCCGATCCCTCGAAATAGAACATGGCTGCTCTCACAAATATGCTCTACAACCTATCACTCTACGCAAAAATTGTCAATTTTATTTTGTGCGATGTCATTCCTTCATAGAAGAAGTTGTGTATATAATATACTTGTTCGGTACGTAGAAATATTGCATCAAGTATAATAACTAACTGGTAACAGCTTGGGGCTATGGTCAGCGGTCTGGCCGATCACCGTCAGGACGATTAAAGAGCAGTTTTTATTTGAAACAAATCAATGTTGTTATTATTTGTCAATCTATCAGGTTATATTAATTTTTAAGTTATTGCATAGCTTATATAGCAGATATGAGTAATAGTCTATACATTACACGGTCAGTTTCTGCGAACTATAGGCACCGTCATATTGGCCTTGGCTGCTCTGACGAACGCCTTTTACTTTATCCCTACTCCGCGGCCGACCGTCACGCGACATGCAACACACAGACGAAAAAGTTTGAAATGCTATTCAATAGGTTTACCGCGGCAGTCCCCGAGTGCCACACGTGTTTATTTTTTAACTTTTGCAGATCATGTACAGCGACAAATTCAAATTCATAAACGAGAAAACAATAAACTTCAAATCTGGTAACAAGGTGATAAATATTCCAGGAATTACCGGGGAAGGTGTAGTGAAATATGCCGACATAAAGTCTATTGATGCCAAGGTAAATACAATATATTATTATTTAATAAACGTCTGTTGTCGTTGTGGCCTAAAGGATAAGACGTTTATTAGCGGTAGGCCGTCTTGTGAGGCCGCACGTGTAAGTACCACCACTTCAACTTTTTCTACCGTGAGGCAGTAATGCGTTTCAGTTTGAACAATACGGGGCAGCCGTTGCACTGTGAATTTGAGACTAGTGTCTCAAGTCGTCGATTGATAATGTCAATATATCAAAAACAAACTAGTATCCAAGTTCCTTTGTTTATAATTGATGAGAGAATGTTAAGTAGTTAACTCTTGTTTTCATGTTATTTTCAATAATTTTTTTTTGATCGTACTGTTAACATTTAAATTTAACCTATTTTTCCGCTGTTTGTAAAATTGCTGTAACATGACATAGTGTTGTTATAAGAGATTGCTGTACATGTCTGTAACTGGCTTACATACCAGTACTTAATTTTATACTTGTTAATTTTAAGCTTGAATGTTTTGTGTGTATTGCTGTTGGTGTGTCTAAATAAATAATAGAAGGTTTGGAGCCTCTGGGTCTGCGGAGGGACTTCGGTTCCCTCTGTATTTTGTACCGCATGTTTCATGGGGAGTGCTCTGAGGAATTGTTCGAGATGATACCAACGTCTCGTTTTTACCATCACACCGCCCGCCACCGGAGTAGAGTTCATCCATACTACCTGGAGCCACTGCGTTCATCCACAGTGCGTTTCCAGAGATCTTTTTTGCCACGTACCATCCGGCTATGGAATGAGCTCCCCTCCACGGTGTTTCCCGAGCGCTATGACATGTCCTTCTTCAAACGAGGCTTGTGGAGAGTATTAAGCGGTAGGCAGCGGCTTGGCTCTGCCCTTGGCATTGCTGAAGTCCATGGGCGAAGGTAACGACTCACCATCAGGTGGGCCGTATGCTCGTCTGCCTAGAAAGGCAATAAAAAAATAAAAAAGATCAAATATCACACACAACTAAGACTGAGGATATGATATAATTTTGCAGCCTGACAATACGCAGAATAAATATTTCTAAAAGCTACAGTGACAAACGCACTGTAACAGCCTGGCCACGGGACATTCGCCGATGCGAATATTCGCGCGGTGCGAACGGCGAAGCGTCTAGCGACTAAAATAAGCGCATAGAAATGTACCTAACAAGCCACGCGCACCGGCGACCGGCGAAGCGACCGGCGAAATGTACCGAGCGAATCGCGCGATGCGGCGGGCGAGCAAAACAAATGCATGAATACGGACGGCGCGAGCCACGGAGTCGAGCGGTAGTCGCGGCGAATAGTGCAGTGATTAAATGAGTTTAGTTGTTTTCGCCGCGAAAAATTAACGCCGAAATTTTTATATTTTTTATTTATTTTTTATTTTATATTTTTAAAGTCGTCGTGGCCTAACGGACGTCCGGTGCAATCGTGTTGAGCGATGCACCGGTGTTCGAATATCAGGCGGGTACCAATTTTTGTAATGAAATACGTACTCAACAACACTCAACGTTCACGATTGATTTCCACGGTGAAGGAATAACATCGTGTGATAAAAATGAAATCTTCAAAATAATAATTTGCGTAATTACTGGTGGTAGGACCTCTTGTGAGTCTACACGGGTGGGTACTACCACCCTGCCTATTTCTGCCGTGAAGTAGTAATGCGTTTCGGTTTGAAGGGTGAGGCAGCCATTATAACTATACTTGAGACCTTAGAACTTATATCTCAAGGTGGGTGGCGCATTTACGTTGTGGATGTCTATGGGCTCCAGTAACCACTTAACACAAGGTGGGCTGTGAGCTCGTCCACCCATCTAAGCAATAAAAAAATAAAATAGCTGAAATACTAGCTAGACCAGCTATTTGGAAGTCTAGCCACCCAAAGTATTTCTCGTACTTCTTGTGGAATTCTCCATCTATAGGTATACTCCGATTCTTATTCAAATCATGTACTTCACAATCTTTTCCAAATAATAGGTCCTGAACCAAAAAACTATTAATTTGTAAGCAATATCGAGATAATTTCGATATAGACATTTCGCTGTCGGACTTCCTTACTAGTCGCGGCGGCGAACGTGAGTACCCGTGGCCTGCAAACGGTGCTGCGCGAATGGTCGCCTCGCCCACCGCTTCGCTGTTCGCACCGCCGATCCCCGTGGCCAGGCCGTAACTCCTCCGGCGGCAGCGCGATGGCAAAAGCTTGATAGAGCGCTTTTGGAAAAGTGCATTTCGTGTACATTTTTCTGTTCCCTTGCTTATTTTTTATTTTATTTTTTATTGCTTAAATGGGTGGAAGAGCTCACAGCCCACCTGATGTTAAGTGGTTACTGGAGCCCATAGACATCTACAACGCAAATGCGCCACCCACCCTGCGATATAAGTTCTAAGGTCTCAAGTAAAGTTACAACGGCTGCCCCACCCTTCAAACCGAAACGCATTACTGCTTCACGGTAGATATAAGCAGGGTGGTGGTACCTACCCGCGCGGACTTACAAGAGGTCCTACCACCAATAAAACATTATTTTGATTAGTTCAGGATATTTCAGTGTTTTAATTCTTCTAGACCATAGAATTGGAAAGTAAAAGTGGACTATACTCGTATATAATGGTCCTTCCAAACAAACACGATGGACTTCTGGAAGTACTAGATAAGCTCTGTGATTCTACAGCTTTTCAAGAAATTCTTGATCGCGGCCAGGAAGTATGCGCAAAATTATCCATCCCAGCCGGAGACTTGATTGCTAAATGTGACTTGGGAAATATAGCTAAAGAAGTGAGTCAAAGTTCTCTATCTGACATCAGTGAGCGATTTGAAAGTAAAGCATGAATTTGAAAGCGTCTGAATTTTCAAAAAGACCAATATGCATGTCTGGACCGATTTGAAATAACTATTTTTGTTTGTTCTCTATTATTCTGACCTAATTATAATGACATTTGAAGATCCTGAAATCTAGTAGACAGCATTTCATACCACACTCAATCCATCCGCGGTTCCCATACCGCGTGGCTTTAGCAAAGAGCAAAATGAAAAAAATGCACGAAACAATCACGAAGGAGTTTTAACGTTTTGTTGTAAATTTCAGTCAAATTTATTAAGAGATATATTCGAAGAGGGGAAACTGGAACTCCAAGGTGTGAGTCATAAATACAATAAAACATACGTTACGTCAATCCTACATGAAGTCCATTTGAAGCCAGGTCCGATCATTTACGATGAGCCCAGAGGTGAGCCGCACAAATTTTTATCAATGAATGGGCAGGGAAGAATTACAACACAAACAAGACAAATAAATCCTACATTCTCTTATAGTATTTGATGGTAGACGAATATACCTGATGTTGAATGGTCTCCATACTTCTAAGACATCAGCAGTGTCAGGCCATGATGATGTAGCTTTCTCAAACTTTAAAAAAGAGAAGGACATAGGGATCGGAAAATACCATGGAAGGGAACTCGTTCCAGAGCCAGTCGGTACGAGATAAAAACATCTCGAAAAACACACTGTGGATGATCGTTCTCTCGAGTAGTAGTACATTGGGAAAACGGAATTGTCGGGAGTAACCTTGAACAATTCCTTGATCTAGCGTTTCTCCAAGGTCTAAGTTAATATAGCTTCCGTAATATTAAAATGTACTATATTTTCAGAATTATGTTCAATGCCTCAAATAGAACTGGAGATTAACCGTCCTCATTTGTTCTACGTGACTTTCACACAGAAGGTTGGCCCGATCCGTACCCCAATAGTCGGTGTAGTGTTTGACATCACGGGTACAACAAGCAACTAGCTTGACCACTTCTCGCATCGCATCTTCGGTTTCCACATAATATTAATTCTTTCAATAAAATTTTCAGTCTTTTCTTTCTCATTAATAACCAATTTCATTATTTCGATAATAATTTCATACTCACTCTAAAACAGGCAGTACAAGGTATCAACTTCTCCCTCGTGAAGTTGAGTGACCTGAAGGGGTCGAGGAGGCAATGGTGTATATGAGACGGCATGATACTGGACGAATAACCATGCACTATGTATATAAACTACTTACTAGAAATCTCATTATGCTTGAGTCGAGCCAAAGTAATTTTATTTTGCTTAGATGTATGGGGACAGGCTCAACAACGGCGGCATGAAATAGAAATGCATTACTGCTTCACGACAGAAATAGGCCAGGTGATTTTACCTCCTTACCTAGTGGACTCACAAGACACCCTACCACCAGTAATTCCAGCCATGGAAGTCATTCCATAATTACGTATTTCATTAGAAAAAATTGTACCTGCCTACGGGATTTGAGCACCCACAGTCGAATCGCTCGATATGAAATCACCAGGCTTTGTTTTAGTCTATTAATTCACTAACGTTACATTATTCTTTTGAATCTTCTATTAACGTTACATTATTCGAAATTGTCGTGACTTAACTGGTTAAGCACCCAGTTCTCTGAAATGTCCTTACAATACCTATCTATAATACACAGAGGTATCAAATTTTATTTATTAACAATATTGTTAATGTGCCTAATGGTTTTTTACTAAATTAATATGTATTCAACCCTTGATCACGAACGACTCGGATAGGGAATCTGGTACTATTGCAGATACCATCATCCTGCCTAATTTTACCGCCACATTTGCAAAGGCACGCAATATACCACTGACCACTGGGTTACTCGCCGCTTTTTCAGTGGGTCGCGATTCCGATCCGGTGGTAGATTCTGCGAAGCACTGCTCTTGCTAGGGCTAGTGTTAGCAAATTTTCTCAGGTTGAGCTCGTGAACTCATCTACTCGCTCAGAGAACCTAATATAACCTCTCGAGGTTACTAGAATAGATAGGAAAAAAAATACAATCTCTAAAACACTCAGACCATCACTCTACCGAGCAATGACAGCCGGTGGAATCCTTATTCCCCGATCGCAGCCAGCGATAACATAAATGATAGACAGGTAATGAAGTGTTTGTATCATTACAAGAACAATTACAAAAGTGCGTTATTGTTCATTTATTGCCTTACTTGGCATACAAAACTCGTTGGGACTGTAATAAAATTAAAAAAGAAAACCTTTCTCACCAAGCTTGGAATCGTATATGATCACAGAAAATTTATACCTACTAATAGTCTGGTATCCGATAGGATATCAAAAAATCAAATAATGTTAGTCTTAAAACTTAAAAATAAAGTTATTTATTGTTATTAATATTATTTGTATGCGCGAAATGAAACGGCATCAAAGGCTGTAATGTCGCTAACGGTCAATTTTACTTCAGACCCAGTTCACATGCAGCCGGTAAGGCATTGTGGACTCATTGTATTGTATTCCGGGACACCAGCGGCACCGCCTGTGGGGGCCTGATGGGTTGCCGTACCGAGACGGCCAACGAAGAATCGGCGACTATCGCCTCGTGTCCCGTCTACCCTCCTTCTCTGCTTGGGTTCAGACCCCGGGAGGAGAACGGACGTCGGGTGAGAGACGTTCTTACTGGTGGTAGGACCTCTTATGAGTACGCGCGGGTAGGTACCACCACACTGCGTATTTCTGCCATGAAGCAGTAACGCGTCTCGGTTGGAGGGGTAGGGCAGCCGTTGTAGATGTCTATGGGCTCCAGTAACCACTTAGAAGCAGGTGGGCTGTGAGCTCGTCCACCTATCTAAGCAAAAAAAAAGAGTACAAGAGGAGTCTTTTGGTGGGTAGGGCTCTAATACATCCTTGGACCTGCGGTTAGCTCCCAACGTCTGTAGACCGCCATGCCCCAAATACGCCGTGCACTCCTAAGCGCGGAAACCTCGTATGAGGTTCGGCCCACCGACATGGAAAAATAGGCATTCTGGACTGGTTTTCCCAGCCTTGCCGCGGACAGCTTTACTATTTGTTCGTTTTATAAAAACTAATCTAAACAAAAACCACAGTACAATGAATACTGATGATTACTGCCGGAAGAAAAATTTGAACGTCGACATGAGTAGACCACTATTCTTAGGTTCCTTCATTCTGTACATTTCCTAGGACGAGTCTAAAACACTTAAAATGACCTTTTGGTTGGGGCGGAATAATGCAACAGCCGCAGTGGAACGATCAGTTATCATAATATATTTTATTCGGTTCTTCCAGGTTTACTTGCGTTTTTGATTTAATTTTATTATCTCTGACGTTCCAAAGGCTTTACAGTTTTCGTGATCACGACCGATTGGCTACGGAGTACCATATGAGACATTTTTTATGTTGATAGCTTCAAGACTTTGTTTCCTACGTACTCAATACAAGACAAAGTATTGTAAGTCGTCGTGGCCTAAAGGATAAGACGTCGTGCATTCGTATGAAGTGATGCATCGGTGTTCGAATCCCGCAGGCGGGTACCAATTTTTCTAATGAAATAAGTACTCAATAAATGTTCACGATTGACTTCCACAGTGAAGGAATAACATCGTGTAATAAAAATCAAACCCGCAAAATTATAATTTGCGTAATCACTGGTGGTAGGACCTCTTGGGAGTCCGCACGGGTAGGTACCACCACCCCGCCTATTTCCGCCGTGAAGCAGTAATGCGTTTCGGTTCGAAGGGTGGGGTAGCCGTCGTAACTATACTGAGACCTTAGAACTTATATCTCNTAAAAATCAAACCCGCAAAATTATAATTTGCGTAATCACTGGTGGTAGGACCTCTTGGGAGTCCGCACGGGTAGGTACCACCACCCCGCCTATTTCCGCCGTGAAGCAGTAATGCGTTTCGGTTCGAAGGGTGGGGTAGCCGTCGTAACTATACTGAGACCTTAGAACTTATATCTCGAGGTGGGTGGCGCATTTACGTTGTAGATGTGTATGGGCTCCAGTAACCACTTAACACCAGGTGGGCTGTGAGCTCGTCCATCAATCCAAGCAATAAAAAAAAATAATGCACATGGCAATATACGGTGTTAAAGTACCAAACATTTAACCCCAAAACAAATGAAGATAAGGACGGCAATAAAACAGACACTGTTTCTGTATAAATCCAAGCTACTGAATTTACTTTCATTAGAACTGTACAACAAGCGAACCATGTTTCGGATCCTGGCGCTCTGTTGTGTCCTGACGTTAATGTTGGTTGAAGCTAATAGAGGTGAGTCTTTGTATTTGTGTGTGTATTTGTTTTCCTATGGACGTGTTTTTGTAAAATTTCTTTAGGTCGGCTCCGTATAGTGCGTAACAGCAATGAGGGCCCGACATCGCGATTCCAATCCCTTAGACGATGCAGTCACGAAGCAGTTTGCCTCCGAGACGATAGCGGCTGTTGGCAAACTCCCCTTCTCCCAGTTGAGTGTTCGAAGTTTTCCACCTATTCCCGTGGAACTCGAAAGGCCCGTAGATGGTAGTAGAGTACCAAAAATGCCTTTATAAAACCCATCTATAAACTAGGATTGTCTCCTACGTTAGATCGAGAGGCGGAAACAGACACACTCAAAAGAAATCAGTGCATCCAAAGCCGAGACTACCCAAAAATTCAGCAAAGTACTGTTTCGGACTGCACGTTAAGTAGGGTATCCAGCCTGTTTATTTGTACTTTGAATAGTGCTGGTAATGGTGATAAAAACATAAGGCTCAAACCGATAATCAATAGGTCCAACAGCACCAAGTATCCTTAGATAAGTAAAACGTGCTTTCTCTTTCAGACTTATTAGAAGCTAAGAAACGTTTAGATGCTGCCAACAGTCGAATAATCGGAGAATTTCTATATGTAAGTAGTTGTTTTACTAAACATTATTCCGGTTACCAAATATATCTATTTAATATTGTCTATGGTAAGCCATTCTTCATTGAAGATCGATTGAGTTATTGTTACAAAACCTCACGTCCTTACGGAACCATCAGATCCAATAACATTTGCATTAGGCGCCTTCAGCTCTAACACTAGGAGTAGGTTTAGGGACCCCGGTAACCGTACTCTTCGAACTCGACGAAGAGGTCGACGTGCAACCTAACCCATGCATCAGCCCGTTGAGTTTCTATATGCTACGCTACATGGCAATTTGGCATGAATTTTACGGCCAAAAATTTAGTGGCTTAAAAAATGTATTCTGTTTGACGTGTTTTATCTGTTTTTTAGCAAGGCGCCAAAAGAAACCCTGGTGAAATCTATACGTCTGCACTATTACCTATTTTGGCAGCCGCAGGACAGCTTGCGTTGTTCTGCAGGGAGAAAACGTGTGATCAACTATTTAACTTCCTAAATTTAAAATATAAAGCAGAGGTATTCTTAATTATTAAATTCTTATTTTTAATTATTTTTTTACTTATTGCTTAGATGGGTAGACGAGCTCACAGCCCACATGGTGTTAAGTATTTACTGGAGCCCATAGACATCTACAACGTAAATGCATAAAATCTCAGTATAGTTACAACGGTTGCCCCACCCTTCAAACCGAAACGCATTATTGCTTCACGGCAGAAATAGGCAAGGTGGTGCTACCTACCCGCGCGGACTCATAAGAGGTCCTATCACCAGTACAAATTATTAAATTACAAATTACAAATTATTAATACCATTACCTGTACAGTATAATAACTACTACAAATTATTAATTATGAAATATTTTTTGTTATTTATTTCTCGTCTCTTAGGGTGGGTTTTACAAGTTACTATATTTCAGATTCTCGTGCTTTTTCCTATACTAAGGAAGACATTATTCGACGAAAGTCTAATCGGGTCGCCGTCACTGAATTTAAATGTCTACGCTGATGAGGACAACAAGTTCTGTAAGGCGTTCACTCAATCCTACTACAAGACCTTCGAGGGTAAGACCAGGCTTGTGGACTACAGTGACCCGGTGAGAGCGGCTAAGGAGATTAATAATGAGGTTTGTGATTTGAATCATTTTTCTTCAAATAAAGCTTGAAGGTGCTGGTGGAACGACTCGTTCTGTTAATATTGGAACATGCGAAGTAGTGCTCGGGTGACGGATGACAGACTCACACGGAATCTGATTCAGTGAGGTATTCCGTGCGTTAGACTTGGCGTCGTCTTCTAGGATGACTTCAAATAGAATGCCGACCACGATGCCAAGTGGTCATCGGTGAAAAGCTCAACGTTCAGATGATGGAGGTAGGTAGCGAGGATAAACACGCCCAGCGCGAAACGCTTCACCTTCCCCTAAATCAGCTTTTCCCAAAGTGGGCGATAACGCCCCCTTGTGGGCGCTGTAGGCCTAAAGGAGGCGGTAAGAGACCCAGAAAAAAATGGGGGCGTTGTGTAAAGGCTTGAGAGGTGATTTGTAATTTTGTTTAGGAGTTAGAGACCGACTGAGTGGTTTTTAAGTGAGTGAGTGGTTTTTAAGTAGATGAAAAATGGGGGCGCTAACAAATAATTTATTCTCAAAGTGGGGAGTAGACAAAATAAGTTTAGGAACCCCTGCCCTAAATGGTCGGTTCGGATGTGTGTGAGATGAGTGTCTGCGGGTTGTTGAGCAATAGGGAGTTTTAGTCGGTCCGACTCCGACATGATCCGACAACAGTCGTCAACGCGTAGGCGTGAGCCCGGCCATTGTCTCCAGAAACTAAAAATAGTGATATTCGGAATAGTCTTCTAGTTTGAAGATCAACATTTTTTCTTGGATCCCATTAAAAATTGAAATAAATATTTTTGTATTAAAATTATATTATATTTATGTCACTATATCGGTCTACTATGTACATATTATTATATCGTTTATTTAACAAAATCAAATTCTTAATAGGTAAAAGAGGAAGGCTCAGGAAACTTCAAGAGCTTAATTTCTAGTAAGATGATAAAGGAAGGAGCCGGTCTCAATTTTGTAAGCACCTACGAGCAGACTGTGAGTAATTGGTGTCTACATTTTCTAAGCCTTCACCTGCTCTGCACAGATATATATGTTATTGACGTTGGAAATTGAACCTTATTACAGGTTATATACGACGATCAATTTATATTCAAGAAAAACGTAACGATAAAATTCAAATCCGGCCGCAAGGTGACCAACGTCCCGGGCATCGCCGGGGAAGGTATCGTGAAGTATGCCGACCTAAAAGATTTTGACGCCAAGGTAAATATGAAAATTGAGATACATGACATGCAAATCACAAATTATTATGAGTATTGCTGTTGTTGTTGTTGTAGTCCTTAGGTACCTTGTTGGTACATAGGGTCCTCACAAGTTGTCTCCACTTGACCCTGTCCTGCGCTTGCCCCATACCATCACTCCAGATTACGTCGGCAGTCTTCGTCTGGCTCTCCACGGTGCTTTGCGAAGTATATACAGAGCGACCAGGTATTCTCCTGCCAAACGGTTGCCACTCAAACGCGATCGATCTTGCATTGATTCCGCTACGCCGTAGTGTGTCCTATCCAACGCGATTTCCGATGGGCAATGTCTTGCGCGCTGGGGGTTTGGTCACATTTAGTCCAGAGGTCATTATTAGAGATACGAGGGCGGCACTGAAAATTTCGGGAATTAACAAAGTGACACAACATTACTATTTAAAAATGTATTTATTGCTTTTCGAAGTATTCTCCGCGAAATTTGACACATTTT